TTTTACGGTATCCCGAAGAAAGGCTGTATTAAACTTCTGTGATATTGTCTGCCCCGTTATCCAGTGTTTCTTGAGTTTCATTTTGGCGAACAGCAAGTGGTGATCTGAGGCTATATCAGCTCTTTTCTTGTTTCTCACATCCTCCATAGTCCTTCTGAATGTTTTGTTGATACAGATATGGTCGATTTGGTTTTAAGTAGTGTGGTCCGGTGAAATCCAAGTGGCTTTATGTATGCGTTTGTGCTGGAATATTGTGCCACCGATGACAAGTTTGTTGAAGGCACATAGGTTTGCATATCTCTCACCGTTTTCGTTCCTTTCTCCCAGTCCATGTCGTCCCATGATGTCTTCATATCCAGTGTTGTCCATGCCAACCTCGGCAGTTAGGTCTCCCATCAGACTGGTCAAATCCTTTGGTGAGCATCTGTCGACGATTGACTGCAGCCTTTCGTAGAATTGATCTTTGACGTCGTCATTGTAGTGATTGGTAGGTGCATAAAATTGGATGACGTTCATTGTAATGTCCTGTTTCTTTGTTTTGAAGGATGCTTTGATGATCCTGAGTCCATGAGGTTCCGATCCTATCAGTGCCTTTTGTGCATGTTTGAACAACATCAGTGCAACTCCTTGTGTATGTGAGGCATTTTCCTCTTCATGACCAGAGTGAACAGTAGTCCCCCTGAAGCCAGTCTCAGTTGTTCTACCCGACTCCAATGTGTTTCACTGATTCCGAGCACCTTGAGTTTGTATCTTTTCATTTCTGCCGCAACTTGAAATAGTCTTCCATCACGCGATTTCATAATTCTTCCCCCAACTCCTAGGGCAGAGTTAAAATGGTTTGAATTATTTCTTCTGGTTAGCGTTTTTTTGACAAGTTAGATTTTGACGGGATGGGGTTGCCAACCACATACCCAACCCTCCTCCTTTATCCGGGCTTGTGACCGCTAGTAGCCCCGAAGGGTCTACAGGCGGAGTTAACCTCTCCTTCAGTATATATATATATATATATATATATATATATATACTACGGATATTAGTCATCACTGAATCACAGTAGATTCTGAACTATTTAAAACGTTTAAGCGCTAGACAGTTGATTAGTTCCTTGTCTAAACTGCTATGATTAAAACTATGAAATTAGACGTATCAAATTTTGTATCCAAGCTACATATTGAAAAAAAGAGTTATTTTTCCACCTTAAATCACTGTCCACGTAACCCTTCTGTATCTATTTTTCATCAGTAGTTGGGAATTAAGCTTCTCACTTGATCTTGATTTTTTCCCAAAATAATTGGTGCATAAAGTAAAGAAATTTATTAGTGATTGAGTTAGATTGCAAGACACAATGAAAAGATCGTTTTATGGAAAGTGAGAGTTAAATAACCCTAAGTATTTGATAAGTTTATGAATTTGGAACTAACCCTAATTTCCAGCATCAACTACCTTTTTTGTTCATAAGCGGAGCAGGGTAAAATACAGATTAAAGATCATTATGAAAAGATGAGAAAGATTCGATGTTTTCAATATTTTAAACGAAAATGAATCATAAAAGTTACTGTGGTAGCTCTTGGTCAACAGACTTTGTATTACACCAAAAATACTTTTATTATTCAGTACATAAATACGCTGAATATTAGAGACAGACATGAGCAGAATGAACAACAATTAGATAGAACCGAAAAGGAAGACCCTGAACAGAGCAGGTTGGAGAATACTGATCTGTCACCTATGATCCATCAGAGGTAACAGGCGTAAGTGGATAACATAAATAATGTTTTATAAATCAAATGTTAGCCAATTTAATCACATCAAATAAAAGATCTCGATGAGCAAATTAAATTTCTAGAAACACTTGTTTTTTAAGCTCAGAGATTCATTGCTATTGAACTTCATGTTAAGAAGAGAATTAATTGATTTTGATAATGCCAGTATCAAAGTTTCGTAAACGATGAATTAATTTTTTACCCATTTTACCTGTTCACGGCTAATTATCATAAAAGTGATTTTGGCCAAAGCAAATTGAATATGAAAAAAATGAAGTAAAAAAAAGTAACCATTATTCCGTATAGATAAATACAATTTATGAAAACGTAGATTTCTTATTCGAATTTTGTTCTACATATGTTTATTTGTGAGGCTCAGCTTGACATTGTTACTTATTTTAAAAATAATATGTAAACTAGTTAATAATTCAATAAATAGACAAACTGTATTTTTATTTGATGTTTAGAGAAACTGGAAACCCTAAATTTAGAGCCTTCAGATTGTATTGTATGATCACAAACGTTCAACTGTGAACGTCTATTACCATCCGCCGTATCACAAGCAATTTTAAATTTGATATAACCGTATAAAGACTTGTTCAGTTAAATACTATCCAACAAGTAGAATCGAATGATGGAAAGTGGAATATTTTAACCAATAAAACACTGAAGTAACATAAATAAAATTGCCACTCGGCATACTTCTTAAATTAATGGAATGCTTACGGAAATATTGACTCGAGACATGATCAACATGATCAAATATAACTTAGACCATAGAAATTTTAAACAAAATTACGTAAATGTTGTTTATATTATTACACTATCTGTTTAGTGTAAACTGATCATTCATTAACAAGCTATCGGTTCTGTATCTAAGTTATGAATTTGTTATTTAATGAAATTTAGGCGAACAATAACGTATATTTTATAACAAATTATATTCTTTTAAACTTTAACATATAGAATATAATAAACAATTTTTATTCAGACGAAAGAACCCTCTGTATCGTCGAAGAAAATTTCAATCTTATTGACAATTGTATTTACAGTAATAATAGGAAGGAATTTTATTATGCAGTGTCCAGGAATTTCATTTATCCCAAAACGTTTGCGTAACTGTTTAAAAATTAGAGAAGACAATAATAAGAGCTGAAAAACAAAATGTAAAAACGATAATAGTGCTTTTTGCTAAAGTATGAGACATTAAATAAGAGAACAGGTTTTATATTAACAAATGAATCAAAAGTGAGAAAAAAATGGGCGCAAATTATTAGCATGTAATTACTAACTAAGGTATATTAAGTATGTTAGGGCCATGGTAAAATGTATTGAGGGTAGTACAGGAACTCGATTATAACCATCATGTTTGTTCAAGTAGTATGAAGTTTAAACCATTTCTATTATTAATATGGAGAGATATATATTTTCGGGAGAACATTAATAATCATTATATGTCAGAGTTCTAAATTAATACTTGTAAGTTGCCTTTATCAACAATTACCAACATCAGAGTTATCACTAAAATAAAGTTACTAATCTAGTTTGATTTCATTTATATATCGTAAACAAAAACAATCGGGTCTTTGGGTTGAAACGATGCAATGATGTTGATAACTCATTAAATACATTGTCTGACGTTTTCAATTTCTGCAAATTTTCAATGCATAGTGATGTTCATGCATGATTTCCGAGAACAAATAGGTTGAGAATGGGATAGTAATTTTCTATTCATACTGATTGAATATCATTCGTCATTAACACAAATTTTTGAAATATATCAAAACTGACTTATACTAGATTAGTACACTTGCCTGACAATACATCAGTGATTTCCTACTGGAACATACTGATATCTTCAGCTTGAAAATGTTACTAGTGAAATTTAAACAAAATTAATTGCTTCATATTGATACGAAATTATGTTTCATGTTTATTTGTATAAACAGAAAATTGAATTCAATTCATTTGTTTTATGATCAGATTAAATTTTGAACTGTGTTTAGAAATTTTATATCAGTTTACGTAAAAATTAAATTTGTCCAATAACTGGTAAATATTTCACATATTCAAAACAATAACGATAAGATAGTTGAATATAGTAGTGTTTAGCCCACTTTAAATCTGACTGTATAATGTAAACTGTAAACAAGAGGCCAAATGTTAAATTCCATTATCTAGAACTAATTTATGTATCAAGTTTGAAAGATTAAAATAGGTATCAAAGAATAATTCAAAATTATGAAATTAATTGAAAGAAGTTACACTTAAACAAATTAACTATTTATATTTATGCTTCAGTTATGTGATACTTTGGTTCAGTAAACTCATTGGACTTGTCTCTATTGATTATGATGGCATTTTATGTGACAAGTTTTAATCTTTTAGTTTACTGACTATTTTTAATTGTGAATAGTCAGTCAGACTGAGTGCTTTTATTTTCGAACAATGATTCATTTTCTGAAGAATTTAAAGCAAATTTTAGGCAATTTTGTTATATTCATTAATCATGAAACGTTTTAAATGGAACAGGTATATCCACATTTCTGAACCATTAAATGACAATATTTCCACTTTTAAGTAATAGAACAATGGAATATAGACAAGTAAACAATTGAGAAATAAAATGACAAAAATTTGTATTCAAATGTTCAGTATTAAGACTGTTGAACAGTGTTTCTTAGCATAAAATAACTGAAGGTGTTTGATACCTAAATTTCCCCCAAAACATTTGTTATTTTCTAATACGACATTTTCACAAGCAGTAAGTGAAAGTTAAATAGATCATAAGTTAAGTACTTGATATAATAGTCCCCATTTTCTCTACACTTTGTTAAATGTAACAGTATTGATTTGTCAGCGTGTTGATTGATTTCACTGAAATATCTTGACAGTATGTTTCATGCTTATATATATATATATATATATATATATATATATATATATATATATATATATATATATATATATATATATATGCAATTAAGACGTATATATTGAGACTTAAACACATTTATGCAAAAAGTATATTGATGCACTGTCATACATACGCAATAATCTAATGCTTTTATTTGATGTATGCTTTGTTTTAATATAAAATGTGAGCTACTTAGAGAATCAATTCTTTATTTACCTGACTAACTGACAACCGTATTTAACCAAATATCATTTTCTTTGAACAATTATAACAACAAATAGAAAACGAAAGTTAAACCAAATTAATTTTAAAGTTGAAAATAATTTTGTAGTTGTTCTTCAGCAAATTACACAATAATTTTCATGCATTCATCTAATCGATGTAAAGGATTTACTGAGGTTGAAACAGCTAAAGTTTCAGGAATTAATAAATTTGTAAGTATATTTCTTGATGTATTATTCCATTCATGTAAATCCTTATACAAATAGCTTCGAAGAAGTTCTAATTCCGCTAGTAATCATTCAGTCAATCGTTCAAGTAATGACAGTACAAAATGTAAGTAATTTGTAAACTGAATTGTGTTTAAGTCAGATTGTTTTACTTTATGTTTAGATCAACTAATTAAATTTATATGATAGAATAATTTCTTTAGATTTTATTTGGAATTGAATTGAGATGATATCATAGTTATAAGTGATCCGACTTAAATTCTTGTTATAAATGTAGTCTTTGTAAGTTTTAGTCATTGTGCTGTTTTGTAAAGTAGGTATTCTAATAATTTATGTTAGAAAATTTTACTACTACACAGGGTATCACAGTTGCATTTTATGATTTGTTTTGAAATTCATCTGTTTATCACAATCACCAATAAAATCATGAATCTATTTAAGTTAAACCAACGTTGAATACTTAAAAGCAGTGGACAGACGTTTCATCTTAGTACGGGACTTCTCAGAAGTGGATATACAGGACCCAACGCAGGAATGGAACTCAGTGCCTTCGGTCCTGAGTATGAAAATTTAACCTCTAGAACCTTGAGGGCATAAACCGACACTTGGATGCTGGCTCAGCAGTCTAGAGGTTAAGCGTTCGCGTGTGAGACCGAAGGTGTTGAGGTCTGCTCCTGCGGTCATATACACGGATGTACGCTGTTGAGGAGTTCAGTACTTGAACAAAACGTCTCTCTAGTGCTTCCATGTTTTTGCTGGCGGCCTAATTTAGGTAAATTCATGATTTGTGGGATTCACTAATGAGATTTTCCACAAATGATTAATTATATCATGCTCATCTGAATATCTTAACGTCTAGCTGATAGACTTTTTTTAGGTGGGTTCTATTCTTTGATAAAGCTAGTTTCAATGGAGCATTTATCTAAAGCTTTCTGATTTACGAAATGGAAGATTATGTATTGAAAAGAATAAATTGTTAATACTATGATTAGGATCCGAATCTCAATGGCTTTTACTGCTATAAAGTAACACTAACTCTTATACAACTGATGAGTCTTAAATTTACGTATCATAGACTTGGAACTTACTTTGATTTTTTGAGCAAGAGTTCCCTTACGGAAGAATCGGAGAAATCTAAAAAAACATTAGAAAATCACTTAGTTATAATTTTGCGGTATCTGAACAGCGCAAGCTCGTAATTCTGTTTGGAACTGAACTTAGAGCTTGATATCATTGATCATTAGGTCGAAATATAATGTTCCATACTTTCTATCGACTAACACCAATCAGGAATACAGAGTAACCACTTTTTAGTTAGTTTTTTTGCAGTCGCTAATACCTAATCAGTTGATTTTGGATTTCGAGTTTCATCTCATATGTTATCCTCTAGTGTTAACTCAACAGATATTCAGGGTTACCTTGTATTTCATAGTTTTTCGATAAATGTTAGTTCGTGATGAAAGTTGTTTATCGGTTAATCTACATGACTAACTAATTATGATACTCAAGTGGTGCATTTTGATTAGCGGTGATTGGGCCTAGTCACAGAGTATGCTGTAAACTTTAACTTGCGGAGAAATTAATGTATGTATAATTATGTTGTACTGTAATTCGGTACTATCAAGTATCTTTCATTTTGATGTCATAGTTGCATTTACGTTCGTTCGAAGTCATCACTGTAACCTAATGAACTTCAATAAATAGAGTGGATTAAAAACCCATTCAATAGACTGGTATTTTGTGAGTTCTGATTTCGTTGAGTAAAAAGCTGTAGCCTTTAAATAATGTATAGACTATCTCACTGTTAATTGAGTATATTTAGAAAAAGATTATAATCAAAGTCATTAATAAGGTTAATTTTCTCATGAACTCCCATCAGTTTTTTCATTTGTTTTATCGACTATATAAACACTGTGTTTGATTCCTAGTCATAGTCATATCATAACTTGACTTATGCTTTGAACGATTCATGTATACAAAGTTGAATCATATAAAATATTTTAACTGTTAAAAATAAAATTTTGTGAATTGTTAAAAAAAAAAGAACATAAATTATACTCATCAGATGTATTTTTTAAACAATGAACTCTGTTTTTAAAAATGTTAAGTATTTGGAATACTAGTCGGCATTTACAGACAGAATGTATACAAAAAGTCATGAATAAACTGGAGAAAAGTAGAATTTATATTACTCAGTGCAACAGTCAAGATCGTTGCTAATGGCGTATTTAGATTGCTGCTGTTCACCCGCAGTCTAGTTAATCAATTGCATTATTATTATTATTGTTCTAAAACCCGAAGAATTGCATGGTCCTCGTATATCAAAACGAGTAACTTATATTACCTCCAGTTGCGTCACTATGACTACCGCGAGAGAATGTTTATAAAAGCAATTTCTAAGTTGATGAGAAAATCTCCATTCTCTCAGTTAAGTGTGCACATCATAAATTATATTTGGACATGCAACGGTTATCATCTGTTTTGTCGTTGCACACAAATGTACAAACACATAACTAACACTGTACATTTTATTAAACATTCACATATATACATATCAATGTAAATCATGGTTATGAATATTTTTGAACCTTCAAACATTTACATGATTCAAGGTGATCACTTCTATTGACGAATCAATCATGCTCATATCATTGTCATGAGAAATAATAGAAAAAAACATGATATCATTACGAATAAAAAAGATATAGTGCCATTATCGAACCACAATCAATGCCATCTACTATCTGTGTGTGCTTGTTTGTTTGTATCAGTGTGAATTACAATAACCCTGAACTTGTCAATGCTATAATCCGAAATAGTAGGCTACAAATAAACGGATGCAATGAATGTTAGTCACTATATAAAATAAGGTTTCATGTATCTGTATTCTATAACAACAACAACAACAAAAAATTAACACGTACGTTCAAATATATGTACAAGTTTTGTAAAATCATATACAAATCGAAAATGTTAATATATTCATTAAATTATTTCATCAAATATTTAGTTATTCAGTGTTACAAATAAACCAAAGTCACTCAAAAGTGATCTGAGGAAAGTTCCTCTTATTTACTGAATTAATTTCATTTAAATCTACATGAATCATTTATAATACCATTTAATGTTCACATTTTCGATCTTATAACCAACAAAACTATTCAACAATTTTTTTCCTCCAAAAATGCCTAAAAGCTATATGACTGGTAAAGAATCAAAATATTTTCCAAGTTTTATTAAAAGGAATAAAAGTGTAAATCTGTCCAGCCGTCATAGTAGTAAGTATGTTGTTCGAAATCATTTTTTTTGATGCTAGCAGAGGGAATTTTTTATTTATGACTATGATAATTTTCATGTACTGACTTTATATTTTACATGTCTATGATTTTGGCAATATTGAGTGAAAACTAGAGATAGATATAGAAATTTTACAGCCTGCTTAACAAGAGTTTTATCATTAAACGGGATTTATGGAAAGTGTAGCTCATCGATTGTCTGACGTTAATCACCGACACTACTGGATGCTTGACCAGTGATCTAGAAGTTAAGTTTCTACAGATGAGACTAAAAGTCGTATGTTTGGTTCCCACGAATTAGGGCTTCAATATGCACTGTTGATTAGCCTCATACTATGAGGAAATGGCTGTCCGATGCTTCCAGTGGTGGTCTAGCTAATATTAATTTGTGATTTTAACTGTAAAAGTTTGTTGAGATTGTTAAATTTCACGGTTCATATCACGAAAAGTCCTTGACTAAATAATCAATAAAAGCTATAGGATACTGAACAGCTGTTTTGCTTTTGTATAGCAATCCTAAGCGGTGCCCAAATGTGATTGCAATGGAGATCAAACATAATACCTCCACATATCTCAGCAGGATCATAACCTTTAAAACGCTAAGTCGGTATCCATTAGTTAATATATTTAACCTCTATCGATTCCCGATATTGTAAAAAAAATCTGCCAATGCCATTAGTGGGTGAGTACCTCACACCTAACAGCTGAACTCCACCTGACTAGAATTCCGAGATTCTCATTCTAGGATTATTCTTTGTAGAGCGACACCTGAAGATCGTGAGTCCGGTCTCAGTGGTGTACTGCTGGGGAGATCCATGTTAGAGTGAAGCAGCTGTTTAGTGTTTTAAACCTGTTCCGAAGGTTATATCAAATAATATCTTTGCATTTTCTGACTATAGAGACATGTCAGTACCACTTCAGAATCTATTGCAAGCTATTTTATGCTTTTGTTAATAGTTGAAATGACTTGATCAATCGAGCTTTATGCTGTGAATTATAGAGACTACCATAGATTTAGTTTGTGCACACTAATCTGTGTCAGGCAAGGTAAATTAAGCACTTAGGATTTCAAATTTAATCAATACTAGATGGTAATAATATGTTCGTTGTTTGAGGTAATCGACAGAAACTACTAGACATAAGTTCCGTATTATTTATCAGGTAGAAATGTCTAGTTTCTCAAAAATGCTTATTTTCACCTAGGTGGCTGGGATACTCTCCATACAGCATCTATATGAAATATGCTGCTATTAAACTCTTAGTGACCAAGCTGATATCTATTGAGATTAGATTATTCACACTAGTCAGGAATAAGATCGATTATTCTATTATATCAGACGATCAGTAAAATTTAGTTGGAACGCTGAATTGAGTTGAATAACATCAGTCATCCTCCAGTAATGGATTGTTATATTGTTGTTGAATTTTACTGAACTAACATTAGATTATACATAACACTTACTGAATACTACTTTGCAAATAAGATCTAATGTATATTGCAGATAATGTTTATTCCTTCCATTCTTTCGTTTGTTTAATTGTTAACAAATTTCTAAGATATAAATATGTATCAAGTAAAATATATTGTAAAATAACTTTAAACCTGTTCTGTTACAGCCAATGTGACTAAATAGTTAACTGCGTTTAAACTAAACTGTAAAAGACGAGCGTTAACCATCAGTGGTAGTTAATGACAAACTGTAGTGGTATGAATTCCTCAGACAAGTCTACTCTTATAATTGAATTCAACCTTTAAGTGTTTCTCTCATTTCATAGTTTGATGATTGAGAATTCTTATTTAGTCTATTGA